TTAATTTCTGGTGGATATGAGATAAGTTGAAAGAATATACTTTTACCACTGTTTTATTGTTAATCTTCTACAGATTATCAGTTTGGGGTTAGGCCCTAACTAAAGTAATAATTCGAAATGCTCAGATAACCAAATGCAATTCATCGGGTTTGATTCGCTGATTTTTTGTCGAGTAAACCAAGTTCAGTGATTATACTGTTTGATTCTGTTGGTTTTTCCAACTTTTTTTGTACTTCAAAATTCGGTTATTCCTCGACCAGTTACGTTTCCTTTCCTTTGTGACATTGTGTGTGTGTGCTATCAAAATATTTACCATCGTTAGAAATGATCATAGAAATCATATAAATTGAATATGTAGTAAAAATACTCGAGAAGATACAAATATGTAGTCCGGATGCAGGATAGATTCCATCCATGAAAATGCTGATCAGATAAATGGATATGCTTAAATGTGTTTTAGTGAAGAGGTCTTCTTCCCATACAAATTACATTGTGTTTTCTCAACATCTCTATACAACTTTTTTTTTGGGGTAAAATTTCTCTCTATACAACTTGTTACATATGTAAATATATATTGGTAATCATCATGAACAAATGAACATATTTGGAATGAAATAATACTCTTGACATAGAAATCTACAAAGATACCGGCCAATTCAATTGTTGATCAATAACTTACAAAAGAAATAACATATCATTAACCACCCCAAGATACAACCTGCCAAATAGGAGTTACACTTTTGCCACCCCCATAAGACATGTAATTTACACTATTTCTATTAATTTTGTTATAAAATTTAGACTTTTTTAAGGTGTTACTTAAATATAAAGTCTGTTACTTAACTAAGCCATTCAATTTAGTTTTCTTGTGATTTTTTTCTTAACAATGTGGACATTCCTAAACAGAGAAAATAAGTCTCTTACAGAACCCTTACATCTAGGAAAAACACATAATTGTTCATCCACATTCACAAGACAATGGCTTTCTCTTGCGCCACAAGAAAGGTATTTTCAATTCTTCCTCTTCTCGTTTTCCTAACAATAACCCCTTTGTCTTCATCTTTTTCTCCGAATGATAAAGTCAGAAAAGAATTACTTAACCAACTCTGCTCAAAACCAACAATTGCCAACCATTTCTGCATCGCTTGGCTAAACTCTGATCCAACAACATACACACTCAACCTCAACAGTCTCATCGATCTGGTCCTCCAAAAGACGCAATTGTTCGGCTATAAGAACCTAGCGATGATGAAAGGCTTCGTGAGAACCACGACTGATCCAACGCTCAAGATCCCATACGGTTCTTGTGTGGCAGATTATGAATTAGCCATTAAATCGATCGAGGAAGCTCAAGGGTTTTCGAGCTCTATGTCGTACAAGTTAGCATCTCAAGCAGCTTTTAAAGCCTTTAATAGTGTATCTTTGTGCGAAGCTCAGCTTCAAGGACGGAAAAATGTGCCGGTTTATGTTCCGCAAAGCATTTTGACGATTAAAAGAATGTGTACCATTGATAACGTTTTCTCTATCGTTTTGACGTCTTGATTCTTTTATATTTTTCATTCATAAAACTAT